TATTGTCACCCTGCTTATTTAACTTATATGCAGAGTACATCATGAGAAATGCTGGGCTGGAAGAAGCACAAGCTGGAATCAAGATTGCTGGGAGAAATATCAATAACCTCAGATATGCAGATGACACCACCCTTATGGCAGAAAGTGAAGAGGAACTAAAAAGCCTCTTGATGAAAGTGAGAGAGGAGAGTGAAAATGTTGGCTTAAAGCTCAACATTCAGAAAATTAAGATCATGGCACCTAGTCCCATCACTTCATGGCACATGGATGGGGAAACTGTGGAAACAGTGTCAGACTTTATTTTGGGGGGCTCCAAAATCACTGCAGATGGTGACTGCAGCCATGAAATTAAAAGATGCTTGCTCCTTCGAAGGAAAGTTATGACCAACCTAGATAGCATATTAAAAAGCAGAGACATTACTTTGCCAACAAAGGTCTGTCTAGTCAAGGCTATGGTTTTTCCAGTGGTCATGCATGGATGTGAGAGTTGGACTGTGAAGAAAGCTGAGTGCCAAAGAATTCATGCTTTTGAACTGTGGTGTTGGAGAAGACTCTTGAGAGTCCCTTGGATTGCAGGGAGATCCAACCAGTCCATCCTAAAGGAGATCAGTTCTGAGTGTTCATAGGAAGGACTGATGCTGAAGCTGAAACTCCAATACTTTGGCCACCTCATGTGAGGAGTTGACTCATTGGTAAAGACCCTGATGCTGGGAGGGATTGGGGGCAGGAGGAGAAGGGGACGACAGAGGATGAGATGGCTGGATGGCATCATTGACTCGATGGGCATGAGTTTGAGTAAACTCTGGGAGTTTGTGATGGACAGGGAGGCCTGGCGTTTTGCGATTCATGGGGTCGCAAAGAGTTGGACACGACTGAGCGACTGAACTGACTGGAGAAGTGGAGAGGCACTCCCCTACATTGGAAGGATGATTTATGATTTCAACGTCCTTTCCTGCTCAGAAGTGAGATGACATACATAAAAGGACTGTGCAAACTATCGAGTGCTCAATAAGTGTGACTTAGTCCTCTTATGATATCCTCTTAGGATCTCACTCTTGGGGGAATGAACAGCAAAAAAAATTTTGTCTCCAGTTCCAAGATGGGGAAGTCCTGTAGAAGAGAGGTTAAGTGACTGGCTTAAAGTTACTGGGTTGGCCAAAAATTTTGTTCGGGGTTTCCTTTACATCTTATGGAAAAAACCTGAACAAAGTTTTTGGCCAACCCAGTATATGAATAGTTGGTGGCACAAGTGGGATTTGAAGCCATAGAACTGACTCTTGAGTCATTATATTAGCAATGAGTACTTACCATGTGTCAATTACAGTACCCAGTCTTTTATCACTTACTTCTCCAATTTTATACCATACGATACTACAAAACAGGCAATTTATATATGGAGCCACAGAGACTAAGGGAAGTAATTTGCTCAAGTTTTTACAACTAGAAAGTGATGGAAGTGATATTTAAACTTTGGTCTGTCTGATAGCAAGCCTGAGCCCATATTATATAGCTTCTAAAGAAAAGTGTTAACTGTTCAATATTAAATATTGCATAAACCATATATGTGCAGCTTTAAAACATTGAACTGATGTCTTATTCTGTCCTTCCTTTCTTCATTTAACAAACATCGATTAAGCCCCTATGATGCTTTAGCTACTATAGTAGACACAACAAAGACCTGCAGTTAAACATTTCGGAAGTTATTGCTGATATTTAGACATTTCTGTTAGAATACTTCCCATAGTCCCTCACTCTGATGACACTTGAGTGTGCCAGCCTGGTTTCCAACTCCCAGCTCCTGCATTTTGTGGCTTAAGAGCTTCCTTTGGCTACCCAAAATCTGCTTTGCCTGCCTATGTAGTCAGCTGCAAGTACCCTGGAATTAATGCCTCTCAGGAACAACTTCATCCAAAGACTGATGGCAGCTGGTATATAAACACCCCAGCTCCATCTCTCAGGTGGGATAATTCTGAGTTGTGTGTTCTACACTGGCTTCCAGAGTTTTCCATGGAATTAAGCTCCAGGTACTGACTTGTAGCTGGCTTGGATTGGCCAAAAAGCTGGTTAGGTTTTCCCATAACATCGAATGGAAGAACCCAAACGAATTTTTTGGCCAACTCAATAAATCTCTTATCAGTTGCCCGTCCCATCCTGCCTTGTTTTCCTGCCCCCTATCTGGTGTTTCTTTTGCCTCCCAAAATGTCTTGGGGTCTACTTTTGAGGCAACCCCAAGTGAGACTGGGCTCCTAAGGGTTCTTATATCTTATCGTGACTGGATGTTTGGATTCTCATGAAGGCAGGTAGTTAGATTTAAACTGCCTTAGGAGTTAATTCCTGGGCTAGTAGTGGTTTATCAGTGGGCTCCAACCACTTTGGTACCAGGGACCAGTTTCATGGAAGACAGTTTTTCCATGGACCAGGGGCAGGGGTGTACACTTATTGTACACTTTATTTCTGTTATTACATCAAGTCCAGCTCAGATCATCAGGCATTAGATCCTGGAGACTGGGAACCCTTGGTTTAGTTCATTCTTACCATAACTTATGTGGGGTTGTTGAGAGCTATCATCTACAAGATCCTAGACTCTTCAGTTCAGTTCAGTTGCTCAGTCGTGTCCAACTCTTTGCAACCCCATGAACTGCAGCACGCCAGGCCTCCCTGTCCATCACCAACTCTTGGAGTTTACTCAAACTCATGCCCATCGAGTCGGTGATGCCATCCAGCCATCTCATCCTCTGTTGTCCCCTTCTCCTCTTGCCCCCAATCCCTCCTGGCATCAGGGTCTTTTCCAATGAGTCAACTCTTCGCATGAGGTGACCAAAGTATTGGAGTTTCAGCTTCAGCATCAGTTCTTCCAGTGAACACCCAGGACTTATCTCCTTTAGGACGGACTGGTTGGATCTCCTTGCAGTCCAAGGGACTCTCAACAGTCTTCTTCAACACCATAGTTCAAAAGCATCAATTTTTCGGTGCTCAGCTTTCTTCACAGTCCAACTCTCACATCCATGCATGACCACTGGAAAAGCCATAGCCTTGACTAGACAGACCTTTGTTGGCAAAGTAATGTCTCTGCTTTTTAATATGCTGTCNCTTTACTAGTGTGTGAGATGAGTGCAATTGTGCAGTAGTTTGAGCATTCTTTGGCATTGCCTTTCTTAGGGATTGGAATGAAAACTGACCTTTTCCAGTCCTGTGGCTACAGCTTAGTTTTCCAAATTTGCTGGCATATTGGGTGCAGCACTTTCACAGCATCATCTTTCAGGACTTGAAATAGCTCAACTGGAATTCCATCACATCCACTAGCTTTGTTCATAGTGATGCTTTCTAAGGCCCACTTGTCTTCACATTCCAGGATGTCTGGCTCTAGGTGAGTGATCACACCATTGTGATTATCTGGGTTGTGAAGATATTTTTTGTACAGTTCTTCTGTGTATTCTTGCCACCTCTTCTTAATATCTTCTGCTTCTGTTAGGTCCATACCATTTTTGTCCTTTATTGAGCCCTTTTTTGCATGAAATGTTCCCTTGGTATCTCTAATTTTCTTGAAGAGATCTCTAGTCTTTCCCATTCTGATGTTTTCCTCTATTTCTTTGCAATGATTGCTGAGGAAGGCTTTCTTATCTCTCCTGGCTATTCTTTGGAACTCTTAGTGGATATCAAAAAAAGGTAATGTACCAAACTTTCTCCTGATAGAAGATGTTCTTATCTTGCAGGAATTTACTTTGTGAGGCCCCCTGTAGCAAAGGATACTTAGGGAACAAGGTACTTGAATATGGTATTATTTTCCTTTCCTTGAATCTTAATGTTTCAAAGGATACACTTACTGCTCTTGTTGAGAATGGAATACATCCCGAACTCGTGAAGGGTTTGGGTGGGCTTTAACGGACAAGTCTGAATGGGAAAACTGGAAGCCATCCTTAATCTCCTTAGAGAGCATTTTCATTTTTGTGTCCAACAAAAGTTTATTGAACCTTTATGGGGCTGACCCCCAGGCTAAGCAGTGTGGAATGTTCACAAACACAAATGGATAAAATGCACAGTTCCATCTAAAAATTCTTAGGTCTGGGACAGCAATGGCCACCACCCTCCCACCCTCACCCTTTCAGAGCTCTTTTGGATGGTAATACATTTTGTCCTGAAGAACAATCAGAAAATCAAAATGACTTGGTAAATTTGCTTGATTTTAAAAATATAATCTCAGGGAGGGGAAATAGTCTGTCTAGGAGACAAATGGTTACCAATCTTAAAATAGTTCTTATTTTATTTTTACCCAGCCAACAAACATTCTCTTTTAGAGTCTTAACCTAATTTCCCAGAGTTGCCTGGCCTAGCTTTCTCCTCTAATTTTAATGTTCTACTAAAGTCTTTAAGGTCTCAGCTGGTTAATGTTTAATGCGTTCCACAACCAGTGTTTGATGTTTACACTTTATTGGGCTAACCAAATTTGTAGAGCAAATTAAAAGTGTGCAGGTCTTTGGCAAGCCACATTGAGATATGTGTTGCTCAGAAACCATCTCCTTGTTCTATACTGCATGCCCCAGATAGTTTCAACTAACTGTTCTCTGTTCTTGGCAATATCTGCTGTTCTCTGCATTGCTTTTGGGGAGCAGTTAACTTCCTAGATTTATAAACATCATACCCCCATACCCTTTCAGAAAGCAAGTCACAGCAGAGAGCACCACTTCTATGTGAAGTGAGAGTATCAGCAACAGGTAACCTATTAAGCCAGATCGACCAAAAACCATAAAAAAGTGCACTTGAGAGGGAGTGGGGGAAGCTGGGAGGGGAAGATGGGGGGCAGGGCGGGGGAGGAGGGAGTAAGAATTGAAGAGCTGGTATTTTTGTTTGAGCAGAAACATACACATAATTTGAAGAAAGCATACAAATGTAATCACACACAGATTAGGTAGAGCCATTACTATAATCACCTGAAGAAATATATTGTTTCCCTTACTCATGGGTTTAATGTCAGTCTCTTATTTTGAACTAACAGAGCAGTGTGGTGTCATACAATGGACAGGGTTGGGGAAACCCAAGCTTGGAATCTCCAGCCTGTTAACTCAGGTCTCCTGTTGCAATGTCGCCCTTAACCTCGCTGGACATCATCTACACCGAAGAGCATTGGCTATGATCACTGGAGTGTCTCGCACTTCAGGTATTTTGGGGATGTTATCCCATTTTTAGTCTCATTTTTAGTCATAAAATGCCTGGGGAATGGGACGTGGGGCTTACACTAATCCTTTATTTTTAAGATTTTTTGTTTTGCTTTGATGTGGACCATTCTTTAGACTCTTTATTGAATTTGTTACAATATTGCTTTGGTTTTAGATTTTGGCTTTTTGGTCACCAGCATGTGGAGTCTTAGTTTCCCGACCAGGGATTGAACCTGCACCCTCAGCATTGGAAAGCAAAGTCTTAACCACTGGACCACCAGGGAAGTCCCTACACCAATCTTCTTAAAGGACACAAGTTTCACAAATAATTGCCCCAAAGATGACAACTTAACTTTAATTTTTTCCAAAGAGTGCCTTGATTGTGGCCAGCTATTAGCAATTTTTCTCTCCATCTTTTTAAGCCGATATTCTCTTTCAGCTTTGCTGAGGGACCCCAATTTGACACAGAGCGAGAAGATGTTAAGAAGGTTCTGGTATGTAATCAGCGGATGAAAACGAGGAATCCCCAAACTGCAGGGTCATTGATGGACTGGGGGTAGGGGGATGCAGTGGGGGAGGCCTCAGATTTCCCCGGGGTCAGATTTCCTCTGTCTCCTCAAGGCTGCAGAGAGTCAGGCCAGGTCTGTAGTGATAGCTGCTTTCCTGGCACATCAGCAGTGGCTGAACACTAATGTGTTTAACAGTTGGACTTATTTTTAATCTACTGTATTAGGAGCACAAATTTAATCAAGAACAAAATGTTACCAATGTTGTTTTTTTTGTTCCCGCTTATGCATATATCCTTAACACTGGTTTGTATTCTCTTGTGATAGAAAGCTCTCCATCTGATACCTGACTTATATCATAACATTAGTTTTTTTTTTTTTTAAGTGCAAGTATATGTGGAGAAACAAAAGAGAGAAACAAGGAGCTGAATTTTCACTCAACGCAGCCCCCCTCGCTTAAAGAAATAACTGCAGTACAGATTTTAACAATTAACATTCCTTCAGTGGATGTCATTATGGATGGAGCTAATAAATGTTTTCAAACACTCCTCTGCTCAAATACACCGCTCAGCTTATTTTCTGTCATTTGATGGCATGGGTGGGTTGAGACATTCCTCTAAGCTTTTTTTTCTTCCAAGTCTAAGAAAGAGATCTTATCTTCCTCCCCACCCTCACTCACCCCCTTCCTCTGCCCTCCCCTGTCGGTGCCTACTTCACTGAAACCTGACTTGCAGGTCAGCGGGCTGGTAACAGATTAATTTTACTCTGTGAGGAACACCGAGCATTTTGGCCAGGAAACATGAGAACCCTGTTATAATATTACCGTTTTTCTAAATTAAATATTAGGAAAAATTAAACCGAATTGTGGCACAAAGTGCAATGGAAAATATTTCTCTTCCAAACACTCCTCTGTGATAAATGCCTGTGTAAGTGAAAGCACAATAAATATGCACTACATTAAAAACCTAGATTATTCAGGTTTTAAGACTTATAGCTAAAAGTGGTTTAATGTTTCATGCCTAATAATAGATTACTCCTATCACATTTCTAACCTTTATTTCTCCTAGCTTTGAAGTCCAGCCATATAAAGGTTGTTTGTAGAACCACACGAAAGTTAAAGCAAATATTACTTAGAATGATTCATACCGGCAAGAATTTGCAATGAAGGCAGAGGTTTCTTTCTTTTTTTTTTTTGGTGTGTATGTGTCTGAATCAAAGGAAATGAAATGTTTGTAATATTTTTTGGTTGATAAATTTATTAAAACATTTTAGTGGCTTGTAGTAGAGACACAGCTGACATAAACAAACTGACTGAAAACAGATTATATTCTGCTCTGTGGGGGAGGCGGAATTTAAAGGGGGAAAAATTCCCTGGATTTCAAAAATTGCCACCAGGTCACAGCAATACTTAATTAACTGAATACATTAACGGAAAGCTATAACGTAGATGCTAAAAAAAAGTGAGTGAGGGGGAGCAGTCAAGTTCATTTAATCCTCTGTTTTTTGCTTACAGATTAGCCTTTCAGAATGAGCAACCTGATTTTTTTTTTTTTAAAGGATACATTTACCTTCCAGAGCTTTTCAGAGCAAAACATTTTGCATGGTTGCAAAAGAAATTAATTTGTTGCCAGTTGCTCCATACTGGCAGGAATTCTGAATAAAGAATGTAAGCAATCTATCTTTGTTTGCAAGATATAATTAATCTGGCAGTTAAAATTCTTTGGAAACATTCTGATGACTTATGTGGAAAAGTAGCGCAGCATTTTCAAAGAAAACTCAGAACTGTATGCAGGGGAAGATAAAAGATATATGAAGTGTTTGTTCTAAGCAATACTATTCATTTAAAGATCATAATGTAACCCCACCCTAGCAATTATTGTGAAAAACAAGACAAATCTCTGTCTATAGCTTTCTGACACAGTCTTGATTTGAGAAACAAAATAAGCACATTACTGTTATAGTCTAATAGACTGCAAGCTGTTTTATTAGAGTCAGCTGAATCCTGTTTTGCATAAAAAAGAACTCTGTTTGCTATCAAGAACACATTTACATTAATATGACTTTGACAAAGTAAAATAAAATCGCATTAAGATGATGTAAGTAGATAAGACAATGAAATCTCTGTGAGAGAGTTTTGGCATACACTAATTACAGTCAAGTCCCTGCAGGAAAAGAACATATTTTTACACCAACTATCCATGTGTTTGAAAATGTAGAAAGCCCAAAATGCAATCCTTGGTTTAGGTATTTCCTGAATACATTGTGCTTCTGAGGTAGATTTTTTTTTTTAAAGGAGCCTGCCTGATAAATAATACTTTCAGTTACTATAATACAAGCAAGTTTCTTTCTGAATACCAGCCTGTAATCATCCTGATTATTTTAAGGGACTTTCCAATATAGGACAGCTGAAAACAAGGTTTTAGATTACATGGTAATTTAGGAATGCATGAAAAGCTAAGCAGTTACCATAATAGGGTTCTGGATAAACTTCATGGTTTTTAGAGCAAAACATAACAACATATGTTTTGTGATTTGTTTCAATGATTTTTCTATATTTTTTTCTGTCCAGGTTCTATCAAAATATTTGGAGACCTCCTCTGTGTACAGCGTTTTTATAACCTTATTTTGAAAACTTTGATGTCTCTCTTTTTAGTTCAGTCATTAAAAGAAAGGCAATGATGGATGATGATAATGCTGTGGATTTTATGACTAATCAGTTCTTGGCAGCGGCCATATTTCTTCCGTAGTGAAACTTTAATATTCCTTTGGCCTTGCATAGGCTTTAAAAAAATTTCTTTTTTGGAACTGTGCTACACCAGCTACTTATTAAGTGTTACCAAACAGTTATTGCACAAAAGTTAGCACTCTGATTTAAAACCTGACAAAATAACACAATCAGGAAAGAGTATTTCTCCTCCTTCCTGGCTCCTCACAAATTCTGGGTGCCTTGCAACTGCGTTTTTCTCCGTTTTAAAGGCAAGCGTGTGGAGAACAACTACACAGATGGTAGACAATTTGAGAGGGAAAAAAGTCTCCTAAGGTTGAGATGGGCTACAATCTGCATTTCCTCTCCTCAGATTGTCTTTGTGACTATGCAATTTTTATGACGAGCCTGATTTTCTGCCTGGAATCTTTGATGTATTGTTCTTGAAGTTGCAACGACAAACACCAGGTGTCTCCACTTAGCTGAGGTAAAGGTTCTGAAGAGGAAGGTGGCTTTGCCAGGAAAAGTTGAAGCAGCCTACCCCGTTCCCTGGTACTGTCTGCACTGCCTGGACGAGTCCAGAAGGGCGGGCTGGCGTGGGGGAGGGGAGTTCATTTTTTGATGAGTATGCAAGTGGAGCTTGTTGACTCAGGTCACATCTGGAAGGGAGCCTGGATTTTGGAAGTCATGAAGACTGGGGCCCCTGGAAACACTAGTGTGCTGGGGAGGGAGTCTAGTGAACCAGGTGGCAGTGACCGAGAGAGCCTTCTTGGTCTACTTTGATAGGGACTTGCCGTTTTGAAAGGCAAGAGACCAGTAATGGGTGGGATGGGAGACTTCTTCTTGTTGGAGAGTGACACCATGGGGACCTTTCCTTCGGGTACAACTAGCATAAAGACCGCTGGTGACTCAGAAAGTAAAGAATCTGCCTGCAGTGCAGGAGACCCGGGTTTGATCCCTGGGTTAGGAATATCCCCTGGAGAAGAGAATGGCTACCCGCTCTAGTATTCTTGCCTGGAAAATCCCATGGACAGAGTAGCCTGCGGGCTACAGTGCATAGGGTCGCAAAGTGTCAGACAGGACTGACCAATTCACACTTTCAGTTTCAGACTGAAGAGCCAGTGGCTGATGTGTTGGCTTCTTTATTAACACATCTTTACTTCCAAATTGTGATTTCTGTTAAACTGTATTCATTTCTTCAACAAATAATTGTTTCATCTCTAGTGTGTGCCAGGTACTAAGCAGTGAAAAACCAGACAAAACCTGGTCTTTCATACTGTGTGAATAAAAATATGACCCTTCCATTGGATGCCAAGGGTAACAATTGAGGCCAGTGTTTCCCAAAATGTGTTTCATGATATTCCAAATATGGTATTGTGCTGAGACAAGATTTCATATTTCATTACATCCTAGAACTACTGGGTAAGGAGGCATCTAGATGTAGACCTTCTTAGTAGCCTTTATACACTAATTTGCATTATCTCTTTCCAAGAGAGTCCTCTGTCTCAAATGCATTTGACTAAGGAATCTTTTTTTTTTTTTTTCAGCCTAGAAATTACCCTAGATAGAAGTGAATATTTTGAGGAACATACTTCGGGAGAAACTGTGAATGGACACTCTGAATCTTTGTCTTTCCTGAGGGGACAGGAGGTTAGATTGGAATGTGGAAAGAGGGACAAAGCCTAGAATGTGAAGGCCGCCTGTCTAAGGAAGGAGAGGCCTGTCCCAGAGAATGTGACTGTGGAAGAAGCAGCGATGTCACACAGAGAATGGTCTGCTCCCCATCTGGTTCTGAGTGGCCTTTGAATGACATGGGAAGATGGGAAAGCCAAGGCGTGGGCTCTGGTCTCAGTTCTGCCTCTAAGCAGCTGTGTAATCCTGAGTACTTTGCCTACCCTTTTTGATCTTAATTTCTTATTCCTAATAATCAGCACTGAATCTGTATTGTCCTTTAAACATCAAAACAGCTTTATGAGGTAGGTTATATTATTGCCTCTATTTTATAGGTAAAGAATCTGATTAACAGAAACTGATTTAAGAAACTTGTCCAATGTCAGCTAGACAGTGATGGTGCCAAAAATATTTAAATGACAGTCTTGGACCAGATATTCCATTCTTCAAGATCCAATATTCTGTGATTTTATGAGAGTGACTTTAGATATGTCTCATATCTATTATGATTGGACAGTCAGTCCTTTAGGCAGAAATCATTCATCTGTCAACAGATTTATTGAACATGTACTCTGTGCCAGAATTAACCAAGGCCCTGGGGAACCCACAGGGAACAGTCAAAGTTCCTGCCCTCAGGACATTACAGTCTAGTAAAGATGGAGGTGGGGACAAGTAAACAGGCTATAACATCTATGTAACAAAAATGTTAATGATCACTGACATTTCTATACTGAGTCCTATTATTAAAATATTAAGGCAGACTGTTCAGAAAAGCCAAAAGATAGAAACAACCTAAACGCCCATCAACTGGTGAATGAAATAAACAAAATGTGGTATATTCACACAATGGAATATTATGCAGTCATAAAAAGAAATGAAGAACTGATTTATGCTATGACATGGATTAACCTCAAAACATCATGTTATGTGAAAAAAGCCAGATACCGAGGCCACATATTATAGAATTCTGTTTATATGAAACGTCCAGAATAGGCAAGCCCATAGAAACAGGAAATAGATTAGTGTTTGCCAGGGTCTAAGGGAGGGGGAGAATGGGGAGTGATGACTTCCTGGGTAAAGGGTTTCTTTTTGGGTTTTATTTGTTTTTGTTTGTTTGTTTTTTTAGCTGTGCCACTTGGCATGCAGAATCCTAGCCCTCCTCAGGTATCGAACCTCATGCCCCCTGAATTGGAAGCATGGACTATTAACCACTGGGCTACCAGGAAAGTTCCCAGGGTTTCTTTTGGGAGTGATGAAATATCCTGTGAGGGTTGCACAACATGGTAAATGTAATCAACGTCACTAATGGTAAATTTTATGCTAAGTGAACTTTACCACAGTAAAAAAAAAAAATAGTGGTGATGGATAAAGCCAGACTTATTATTTTCCCATTTCAAGTTAATAAATTCACATTCATCACCTGCATTAAGAAAAAGTGGGCTCAGCACCATTGTAGATGTAAAGGTGAATAAGACGTAATTCCTGTTCTGACGGACTTTACGATCGACTTATTGGAATGACAGAAGGTCAACAATGAATTATAGTAAAATATAATTAAATCAACATCATATTGGCAGAATAAGCAAAATGATGAATATTTGGGAGAAAGAGACACTTTATCACCAAGGCCCTGAATACACCATCAATGGAAGCCCTAGTCACAAAAATAAAAAGGATCCTTTTGTGTTACCATGGTGACATAAAGCAGGGGTTGGTACACAGCCACACAGCTGTCA